CAGATGCAGTGTCTTTGTGGTATAACAGGATTGAAAAAACACCTCTGCGGCAGATCTTGCACATAACTAAACTGGAACACATTATTAATACAGACTAGTATCTTTCCACTATGCACTAGGTCAGGCACTTCGAACTGCTCCTCCTGTAGAACTCTGCCATGGATGGTGCTATTCAGAAAAGGATTGAGAATTTAACTTCATTCTGAGGAATTCTCAAGCTGTTACCCTGCTACAAATTATACCTAACGGTACGGACATAATGCTTGAGGACAATTATAACCATCTCCCCGCACCTGGGTATCAAAACAGAGGATCCAGGCTGGGTAGAGCCAGTGGTTCAGACCCTCCTATTTTAAGGGATCTCCTTCCTAAATCTGAGATTTAACTGCTTTGACAACTAAGCTTAGAGGACTCTGTGCAATTGTTAGAATGACTAGAAATAAGGTTGAGTTCTGGTGCTGCATGGGAGAGGCAGAAGGCAAGCAGGGGTTTAAATATCAATGCATTTGGTTGGTCCTGATCTCCTTCTGCAACTTGTTGCAGGAGTCCTGGTTTTGTCTTGGTACCCACCTGGTCTGGCAGATGATAATGGGGAGCCATCAGATAGTCTTGTGTCATTTATCTTGGATGCTGCACACAGATATGCCATAAAGGTAAGACTGCTCTCTCTCGTTGTTTGAAGCTATTAAACTAATTGCTCAAATTAGCCAGGAATTGCCACGGTGCTTCTCCAGCAGGAGCGTGCTCTGCAGTCTCAGTGGCTTTGTATTATTTTTAACGGGTCATTATGGGAGGTAGTGGGGAGTCTTTATTTTGCAACAGCTGAGCACAAACAAGCATCACTTCATGAGAGGGCTTTACAGCTTGTTCTCACAGCTATTTCTCACAGCTATTAAAACTAGTCTGGACAAACAGGGATAGGTTACATGCCCTATTATGTGTCAGAGGGGTACCCATGTTAGTCTGTATCCACAAAAACAACGAGGGGTCTGGTGGCACCTTAAAGACTAATTCAATTTGTTAGTATTTATGATGCCCTATTATGATGGAACAGACCCTCAGTCTGTTTCCTGCAAGGGGGCTGCCTAGGCAGCTTCTGGATGCTCTGTGATGAATGGACACTGTGACCTCTTCAAAGGGTCTGGGACTTGCATGCTTTCCTTGTGACAGTCAGTGCTTGTCACCATGTCTCCATGATTTATTTTGAAGGTTGCCTTCCACATCCAGCCATACAAAGGGCGCGACGACCGCACTGTGCATGAGAACATTAAATACATCGTAGACAAGTAAGTCTGGGCTTTCAGTAGCTGCCACAAGAGCATAGTTCAGGCCCAACTCTGTGCTGAGATACAAAGCAGTGTCATGCCAACCATGTCTGTCTTGTACTAAACTTCTTGCTCGCGCTGTATATGAACTAAGTAAGTTATGCCACAGGGTGCTGTAGCAGAGAAATGCAACAGCATCACACCAAGCCCTTTACTTATATGCCATCCTCAGCAACCCTTATAAAGTGAGTATATTAGCCCCAGAGTCTGTAGAAAAGGCCATTGCCAGAGATGTTTAAATCTTATTTTCTTGTTAATGCTGGGGAATAAAGAGCTTTTCACTGTGGGTCACTAGCTGGAATGCAGGCGAACCAGGCAGTAACCAAAAGCTATTACCATCCATCGGGGGATCTCTCACCAGTTTGTAAGTGCGCACATGTCCCCAGTGCATTTATTGGCATGTCGATGGTGGTCACCACTGCAGAATATCTCAAGTATAAATTAGTCTGATGGAGTCTCTCAGGGAATGCAACAAAGCTTTCCTGTTCCTCCAGGCATTCCCTCAGGGTGGTAAAATGGGTCTGAAATATTGATCAGTCCAGTGCAACATCCTCCCCTTTGTCTAACCATGGGCAATGCAGCTGAACCATTCTGGTAAACGGTGACACAGGGAGCATGCAAAGGCCTAAAGTGGAACTACCAGGGCATGCAATTGACTGGGCTTCAGGCTGCACTTGCCTTGTAATGGGCATACCTGCCTGCTAGTCAGCATGGGACTTGCTCCCCAGGTGCCGATACTTACTGTAATGGTCTGTTCTTTCTCTGTAGATATGGATCTCATGCAGCTTTTTATAAATGCAAGACCAGTACAGGACAGAGCCTCCCAATGTTTTACATATATGATTCTTACCTGACACCCCCTGAATCCTGGGCCAAGCTCTTCACCCAGTCAGGCTCTCATTCCCTCCGCAATACCCCTTATGATGCAGTGTTCATAGCACTGCTAGTGGAAGAAGGACACAAGCACGATATTCTCTCTGCAGGATTCGATGGCATGTACACATATTTTGCATCCAATGGCTTCTCTTTCGGCTCATCCCACCAGAACTGGAAAGCTATCAAAGCCTTCTGTGACTCAAACAACCTGATGTTCATTCCCAGCGTTGGCCCAGGCTACATTGACACTAGTATCCGCCCGTGGAACAACCACAACACTCGCAACAGAGTCAACGGAAAATATTATGAAACGGCTCTGCAGGCTGCACTCACGGTGAGGCCAGAGATCGTCTCCATCACTTCCTTCAACGAGTGGCATGAAGGCACTCAGATCGAGAAAGCGGTGCCCAAGAAGACACTAACACGCCTCTATCTGGACTACCTGCCTCATCAGCCCAACATGTATCTGGAGCTGACCCGCAGGTGGGCAGAACACTTTAGCAAGGAGAAGGAGCAATGGCTGATGTGATTATTATGTACGGGAAGCCTTCAGATAGCCTGTCTTTGCTTTATGAAAAAGGTCACGTTAAAAAGAATCGGTTGGGAAAAGCAGATTATGAGTCACAGTCTCTGTTCAGGACTGATGCGCTTGTTCGGGTCGCTAAATAGAGTGTTCTCCATGAACAGCCCTAAGGCTGGTTTGAGCACCAACTCCACAACCCCAGGAGGAAATGTCAGTGAGCAGAGGGGTCTCTAAGCAGCAGTCTGTTCTATTGCAGCTGTGAGTTTAGTACAGATGTCCCTTTTAAAGCCCTGCTGGAGCTGAACTGGCCTGTAAGTGACCAGGCCAGGGAATGAATGAGCAAGAGATCTGTTTTTCTTACCATGCATATGTTTAGTGTGATATTTTAGATATGAGCTGGGCTCCTACCCCCAGCATGTATTTTATCCTATGCCCTTCACCAGTTGCCTGCTGATTACATATTCCACACACCACTAGCAGCTCTGACAATTAACTTCCCTTATTAGCTGGTTGAAACAAAGAGTTAATTGTTCCTCAAAATTGTTTATTGTAGAACAAACCTATGCAATTAAATACCCTTGGGGTTGGGTGGTGTTAGTGAGCCACTGTATCCAAATAACTAAAAATAATTAGAGCTGGAATTTAACCTATTATCTGTATTGGCAACCAATGAACTGCAGTGATCTGTACTAAATGCCCTTTTAGTGTTTCACATGTTCAAAACTTAGCCTTAACTTTGTTTTATCGCCTCTCTAGAATCAAGTGAAGTGTGACCACTTGCAATAAAATGTAACTGAAAATACTAATGTGTTTTCCCAGAAGGAAGTTACATCACTATAGAATAAATACCCTTTTTTGTAACTATCGTACATCCAGTCCCTTCTAAATTTGGTGTTTTAAGAATTCATTTGTACTTGTCTTTTTATCAATAAAGTGAGAAGTGGCAGCTTTAGATCTGAGTTAGTGCATGAGGTTCTCCCTTGTCACAATTATGCTTAATTTATACAAATTCTGACTTTTACTGCACAGTGACAGCACTGATGGTTTCATTTTTCTCCATTTAATGCAAATGATTGAAAACACGCTCTATCTAGCCGCTCATGCTTGGTCGAAAGAATTAGAATCACAGACATGTAAGATTCTAAGGGAGCTCAAGAGGTCATATTGTCCAGTGGTTCTCAGACTGTGGGTCAGGCTTCAGTTTTGGCCCCCGCACCTGGGTAATATACTGCAGTAATTTTTGTTGTCAGAAGGGGGTCACGGTGTAGTGAAGTGTGAGAACCCCTGATCTAGTCCATTCCCTATACTCAAGCAGGACCAAGTAAACCTAGACCATCCCAGACAGGTGTTTGTCTAACCTGTTCTTAAATAACCTAAACCTCATCTCCCTTGCTGCAGATTAAGCTGTTTAAACCTTGTCCTACCTTCAGTGGACACAATTTATCACGGTCCTCGTGATAACAGCATTTGACATGGTTGAAGATGTATCAGATTCCCACCCATCAGTCTTTTCTCAGGACCCATTTTAACAACCCTTTGTCATAGGTCAGGTTTTCTAAACCTCATATGTTTGTTGCTCTCCTCTGGTCTCGTCCCAATTTGGCACCCAAAACTGAACCTAACACTCCAGCCAACACTTTAGTGGGGCTGAATAGTGGCACAATTGTCTCCCGTGTCTTACATACAACACTGCTGTTAATACAGCCCAGGCTGCCTTTCTTGGAAACTGCATCATAGTGGTGGGTCATATTCAATTTGTGATCCACTGTAACCCCCAGATCCTGTTCAGCTTTCCTGCCCCTAACTACTTATTCCCCATTTGTTTGTTTGATTTTTCCTACCTAAGTGAAGTACTTTACTTTGCACTTGTCTTTATTGAATTTCATCTTATTGGTGGTTTCAGACCAATTTTCCAGTTTGTCAAGGTCATTTTGCATTCTAATCCTGTCCTCTGAAGTGCTTTCAACCCCTCCCACTTTGGAGTCATCTGCAAATTTTATACACTTCATCAGGTCCTGCCAACTTAGTGCAAGAGTGGAATAAGCAAAGAGCTATCCTATGGTTGCATCTCACTCACCAAAGCATCTGGGTTATAAAGCCCTTGTTCATCTTTTTCAAGATTTGATAAGGGTCCAGCTGCTCCATGTCTTGCTGCATGATGGGCCTGGTTTAGCAGAGTAGTTGCTAGTCAAACCCTCATCTCGACAACAAGTAACTGTAGGCTGCAGAGATTAGTCTTCCAAAGATGAAAAGCCACCACCTCCAAAAGGTAACAGTGTACGTACAAAATTTACACTTTAATGGCACTAACACAAAGAGGCATTGCAGAGATCCAAACACCTTAAATCTAAGCATTTATAACAGAACTGTGTTTCAAAAAACACAGTTTGGTCACCAGTTTTTAAACACTAATAAATATCACCATGAACAGATTAATTACATTTTAGTGTTCCCAGAAGAGTAAATACTGGCTCAGACCCTTTTGGCCTCCTCCTATTGTTCTAATAATCTCACTGAATTAAGATCTATAAAAACTACAGACTGATTCTAGTCCGCAGGTCAGCTAAGTAGGGAAAGCAACAACTTCATGGGTGATGAAGGGAACAGTTCATGAGGGACTCAAAAGATTGCACTTCAGGGTCTGTCCTTTCTCCTTTTACAAGGAAAACAAACGGAAGAATTTAGTCTAGTATCAGGATTAGCAACCATCACCTAAAAGTAAACCTTAGATGACTTGCAAAAGGGATACTTTTTTGACAACTAAAGAGCAGCTGAAAAGTTTCTCCTGCTTGGCGCCGTTAGAAATATCAGGTCTAGACTTGCTACTTTTTGCTGGAGAACAGTAAGATTATGGCATCATGAGAAACAGATTAAGCCAAAATAAAAAGCCATTTCCCTTTCAGGTGCTCTACAATTTAAGCCAAACACTCAGCAGACAGGTGGAAGAAGGATTCTCTCTACTAAAGGGGTCAAAGCTCACTCCTGCAAAACCAAGCAAGAGGAGACACTGTATTCCTGATATTTCTAAGTAAAACAGAAGAAACATTTAAAAACTGTGGTGTGTGTTTAAGTCAAAACAGCAATTGGTTGCCTCTAAATCTGAATCAAACCCAAGTGCTGTACACAGGTATTTCAGTAAAACACGATCCTCTGTCCCATGCAAGAACAGCAGTTTCCCAAAATATCGCAAATAGACGTTTATTTCAAATCCTAGTAAACCCCATTGCACAAGGCAAAAGATCCCTTGTACGGTAATCAGGGATATTACACTTGCACAAGGAGGTCAGAAGTACTTGGTTTGTTTCTTACAAACATGCACAGCAGACCAATAGCCATTACACACAAATGATGAAAAGACCCAAGGAGAGACATGAGGACTGATACAACCATTGACCTTATTAAAGACCTTATTAAGACCTTTGACACTGGCTTCCTGAAGAGACAGGCACATGGTGCCCAGTTTTACTGACTCTGCACAGCTTCCAGAGTTTGGTATCTCACAAAGAAGGTGGTTCTGATGTCAAGCCGTATTTCTTCCCCAGGATTTCAACTGTCGGTGTCAGTGCACTATGGAAATAAAGGCAAGTAGCGTGGTGACTAGAAATAAGTTCCCATTTGCAGAACTCAGTTGGTTCCACAGTTTTGTAGGGAAAAAACGAGAACCAGCTGAGCAAGGTTATCTTCAGCCCAGCAGGGCAAAAGAGCGGTATATTATGAAATAGCAAGTTATATCCTGCTGAACCCAGTATCTGTCAATTTTCAGCATCTCTGGCCAGGCAAATTAGTTAGGTGTTAGAGAATGCTGCACTTTGAAAACATCCTACACTAACCGCTGTAGGGAAATGGGCAAAACAAGCCCCATGTTTTAACTTTCAGTTGCATTTTGTTTTACCTAAAGTGAAAGCTGCAGCTATGGTCAGCAAAGAGTGCTTACCAGCCAGGCCGAATAATGGTGTATTTCCCAGATACAGACAAGTCGACCACAGTTGACCCCAGACGACACTCTGGACTCTGGATATCTCCAATTACACCTCCATCAATGACCAGGGATAACTGAGGCCAAAGGTCTTGGAATTCCTGAGACAAGAAGGGAAAATTGGGTTCAGCCAACTAAGCATTTGAGGGGTTGTTGTTTTAGTTTTTAAATGGATACCACACGTGAAGCGCTGTCGGACTCTAGTGCCAGGGAAGACATCCCATTTCTCTGAGCTTCTGAGCTGAACACACCATAGACATCAGAACACACGCTTTCACTATTTTCGGAGCTACAAGTGCCCTCTAAGGATTCTCAGGTTCAGAACCATTTGCTACATAATCATGTTTAGTAAAGTACACAGGAAGCCTTTAAACAGTCTGCATTTTAAACTCTGCCCTTCCTCAATCTTTAAGGGAGGCTCCCAGCACAGCAGCAGGGATCTGTAGTCTATTGTGAAGGGGGTCTGTAACAGAAGGACGAGGAACAACCACCATGGGAAAGGTGGTACAACAGGTTAGTAGCTTCTCCCAACTCCTATCTGAAATCCTAGCACGGCAGTTCTCCCCAGTGACAAAACCAACCTTACCGAGACGGTCAGTGTGCTCGCCTGAGTACTGATGTTAGCGCTCGTTAAAGCCAGTGGTCCTGAACAAGCCTGTGCCACCTCCCTAATGAAAGGGTGATTTGGAATACGAATGCCAACCAACTACAAGAGAAGAGAGGTGTGTTTATATGCAACAGCCAAAGAGAGGATACATTTATAGGCAACAGTCATTGAGCTACAGATCAACCATGTATCCCATTATGTTGTATGAAGCCCTGTTGACCTAAAGAAGTGTGGTCCAACTGGCAGCCTGAGGGCTGGATTTGGCCCACATAATGATTCCATCTTGCTGCTACCCCATCCACTTAACAATTTTCAGCTATGCTGGGACATGCCCAAACAGTGCAGGGGGAGCTGGTACCATTCAGCCCCACAGGCCCCCTGTGGAAAGCCCATAAGGGCTCTAGCTTCCCCACTCCTGCAGGAGGCTTGGGAAAGTACCAGGGCCTCCAGTTTCCTGCCAGCCTACAGTGCCAGGTCTCTGGCAGGTGCTCTCCCATTGGGAGGTACTAAGGGCCCCCCAGCCTGTTACCTCCTGTGCGGGTGGTGGGTCCCTGGCCACTGGGCTGCTGCACCACTATCTCAGGCATGGCTGGAAGGGGGGGTAGTGGCTGCTGGGTCTCTACAGCCGCAGAGTCAGCTGGGGGGGGGGCGGGTGGGCCTGCTGTCCCTGCCTCCCTATGATCAGTGCAGCTGGCATCTCCCACTCCAAGACAGGGTGAGGGAATCTCTTTACTGCTGCACATTCCCCAGGGTCTGAGCACATGCACTGACCACAGCGAAGCCATGGCCAGTCTCCTCTCTGAGACTGGGATAGGGAAGGGGGATGAACTGCATACCATTAAAAATATTTCTGGGGGCACATCTGCCTTGATAGGTCATTGAAGTTCAACTTCTAATTTTTGGACTGTCAGAGAGGGAACTAAACAGGGGGTCTGAACTATGGACCACCTGTGGCCCTACTGACGGAGTTTCTCAGCTGGACAGCAACACCCTCAGCTGCTGCTTCCAATGTTCTGTTACAAATATTGAGATTGACATTGGGAGTCAAGTGCCAGAAACTTTTCCTCACTAAGAGGTGAGCTATTATCTTATTTAATTTAGTTTTATTACTTCTTAACCCCCATTAACACCTTAATGGGTAAATTCTAAATGCTTTAAAACAAGTGATCTGATTCTAGAATCTGGAATTCTATTTCTGGATGTGGCCCACAGAATAAAATTTGGACCACAGAAAAGGAAGGATAGGTCTTTCTACCAGCTTTATACCTCAAGACAGTTTAACCACCCAGCACATCAAACACTACAAGTTATATCACATTCAGATAGGTGACAAGGACACCTACAAATATGTCCATCTTGGCACATGTTTGTTATTGACAGAGCAGGAACTAGCTTCAAGATGTCAATGAATGCTGAATGCCGTGAACACACAACAAATGTGAGTGGGAAGGCCAAAGAACTACACACAAAGAAGATGGTGGTCACCTGTCAAATTGCAGAGATGTGTGTCATGTCCCAAAGACTTACCGATGTGAAAGGGTTCAGGTCTTTATTGAGTTCTTCTGAGCGCTGCAATACCAGGGTCACAGGTCCTGGGAGCAGGTCCCGTAGCAGCTCTTCTGGCACATTGACATGACAGTACCTATGAAGTACACTGAGATGTACTTAAAATCGCTACAAGATACAGTCACAAGAGACTAACCATCACTGGGAATGTTTCCATGCTCCCAGCTACCACAACTCCCTCCCCTGAAGTTTTACATTTTTGCTATTGCACAGTTGAGACAGGAAGCAAAATGCAACAAAAACAGGCTGGCCCTCCCTGACCAAAGCACCACACAGTGAGAATTTTGGCAGTCCATGACCCCTCTCTGAGGGAGATTTTCTTCTCTGGGCTCTCTAGGTACATCTGTCCCCATTTCAGTGTACGGGACAAGGTACCTGCTCTACTGTAAGCTGTGTTGGACACAGATTCGAGACGCTCAGAAAGGATACAACTTAAAAAACTGTATTTGCAAACTCATCTTTTTCCCAAGGCCACCAACGTTAGATACTAAAACTGAATTCTGAGCATTCCATTTACTTTTGTGATTTACGCAGCTTGCATTTCTCTCAGCACGAACCACAAAGTCAAATCAGTCCAATTCACTTTTGCTTTTACTATACACCGCTCGGAGTATTAAAAACTGAAAAACAAAGCCGAGGGCAGCGACCTGGAAAGTGCCCAAGTGCTACAAAGGAAAGCTTGCTTTAAAACAACTTTCCGCTGTGGTTTAATGAAGCGTGGGTCGTTTCTGATAGTTTCACAAAAGCTGTTTTTTAAAGGACCCAGCCTCACCCAGGCGGACACGGGGCCCTAGCGCTCAGTGTCCCCAGCTGAGGCACATGCTCACCTGTAAATATGCTCCACCTCGCCCAGGCAGATGGCCAGGGGTTTGCCTCCAAGTCGCCCTTTCAGGTTATAGATCTTCTGGATGGCCGGGGAGCTCTGGGCCAGACACGCTACTCCGTAGACGGTGTCGGTGGGGAGCGCCACGAGGCCGCCCTCCCGCAGGACAGTTGCGGTGGCCTGGAGGGTCTCCCGCCAGCCTGGGGGGGAGCAGCGAGTGAGCCCCCGGCCCAGCCCCACTGCCGCAGCGACCCCAGCCCCGGTCTCTCGGGCCCAGCGGGGTCCCCGTCTCCCGGCCCGGGCGCCCGGCAGCTCCCGCTGCCCTACGGAGAGAGGAGCCGGCCCAGGCCGCGGCCCCCCGACCCCGACCCCGTGCCCCGGCCTCCCCCGCTTCCCTCACGCCCCACCGCCGACCCCCCCCCGGGCCCCCGGCCTCTCCCCACCCCCGCCCGGACCCCGTGCCCCAGCCTCCCCCCACCCCCACCTGGACCCTGCGCCCCGGCCTCCCCCACTTCCCTCGCGCCCCGCCGACCACCCCCCGGGCTCCCCGCCTCTCCCCAACCCCGCCCCGCTCCCCCACCACCACTTCCCTCGCGCCCCGCCGCCGCCGACCCTCCCGGGCCCCCGGCCCCGCCTCCCCCCACGCCCCGCCCCGCCCCTGCGCCCCAGCCTCCCCCACTTCCCTCGCGCCCCGCCTCTCCCCACCCCCGCCCCACTTTCCTCGTGTCCCGCCGCCGACCCCCCCCCCGGACCCGCCGCCTCTCCCCCACCCCCGCCCCGACCCCCCCCCACTTCCCTCGCGCCCCGCCGACCCCCCCCGGGGCCCCCGCCTCTCCCCACCCCCGCCCCGACCCCGCCCACTTCCCTCGCGCCCCGCCGACCCCCCCCCCGGGCCCCCGCCTCTCCCCACCCCCGCCCCGACCCCGCCCACTTCCCTCGCGCCCCGCCGACCCCCCCCCCGGGCCCCCGCCCCTCCCCACCCCCGCCCCGACCCCGCCCACTTCCCTCGCGCCCCGCCGACCCCCCCGCCTCTCCCTACCCCTACCCCCGCCCCCACTTCCCTCGCGCCCCGCTGCCGACCCCCGGGGCCCCCGGCCCCCCCCACTTTTCTCACACCCCGCCGCCGACCCCCCCCCGGACCCGCCGCCTCTCCCCACCCCCACTTCCCTCGCGCCCCGCCCCGGGCCCGCCCCGTTCCCCCGGCCCCGCTCACCCTGCGGGTCGCTCTGCGCCGCGCGGCGCCCGGGCCCGGGGAGCGGCAGCGGGCGGCGAAGGCTCCGCAGCCCCGCGGCCCATCCCGGCCCCGCGCCCCCCAGGGGCCCCTCAGCGGCGCGGGCCCAGCCGGCCAGCGCGCCCCGCCCGCGCGCGCTCAGCATGGGAGGAACTTCCGCTTCCGCTTCCGCTTCCGCGCGGAGGAGCCGCGATGACGTCATTCCGGTCGCGCTCCTCCTTAAAGAGACAGGCGCCTCCAACGCCGGGGTCTGTCCCCGGCTCTGGGAGGGGCGCGGGGCCTCGTGGTGAGAGGGGGCGGGGCTGGGAGCCGGGACTCCTGGGTTCCATCCCTGGCTCTGGGAGGGGAGGGGGTCTGGAGGGTTAGAGCTGGGGGAGGGGCTGGGAGCCCGGACTCCTGGGTTCTCTCGGGGCTGTCGGTGAGTTGCTGCCTGACCCCTTGGACAAGCCCCGTCGCCCTGGCGCCCAAGAGTCGACAGGGTCCTGCCCGGGAACAGCCCGCCGCCGCCCGCTCCCTGCCCTCAGAGAGCCGCGCCCTTTGCTGCAGGTCCCCAGCGCCTGTATTCCCAGGGGTTCAGTGCCCTCATTTCACAGACCGGGAAACTGAGGCACGGGTCAGTGACAGAGCTGAGAGCAAAGTCCAGGTCTTCTGGCTCTCAGACCTACCCTCTTATCACTAACCCCTTCTGTCCCCCCGGAACTGGGACCAAAACCCAGGAGTCCAGACACCAGCCATCCTCCTCTAAGCACAACACAAACTGCCTTCTGGATGTGACTTCCTTCCTTCTCCCCTCCCTCAACCCTGGGAACTTCACAAGTAAAACAGTGACTGGCACTGAACTTAGAACGACCCTGGTGCTTTATGGCAATAAAGTTCTTGCAGAAGAAACTCATGGAATTTACTTATTACATGTGTGTCAGAGATCCACAGGATCTGTGCTATCCCCCAGCTTTTAAAGAGTCCCTCAGAGGAATCCCTTCCGTGTGCCAGACCCTCAGGAGGTCCCACTCTCTTCAGGGTAGGCCATGAGGCCTCACTGTCTTCGAGTCTGACTGCCTGCACTCCAGCTTCACACCGTGAACTCTGCCCAGCGAGTCAACTGAGATAGACTCCTGATCAGAGATTTTACACTCTTCAGGGACGAATGCACTTCAGCGAGTATTTGCAGTGACCTCAGGCTGCCTTTCCAAAATGGAGCAGGGTTTGTCAACTGGAACACATCACTGGCAAATCCTTGGTTAGCCAAGAGAAGCAAAGATGAAGATATAGTCCATTCTGGCCAAGACAGTGCAATCAGCCAGCTAAGCTGCTTTGCAATCCATTTTGGCTTTCTCCCCTGACCTTGGCTCCGTCGTGTCTTTCAGTCCCAGGTGAGAGCCCTGTGTCTTGCCAAAGACTACACAAATCATTCCTCGTGATCCAAAGGATCCTGTGACAGCTCCATTTAATCTCGTGGTACCAGTCACAAAAGTCCTTCCTTGCTTTGTCAAATGACTGTTGTCCCAAGCTGGTGCAGGGCTGCCTGCTCTCTTTGGAGAGGACTCATCAAGATGGGTACCACTCTCTCTTCTGGCACCCACCACAGGGACTTTTGATTTTACTACAGCGGACAGCAAAGAACAGAGACCTGTAGGAAATAATTTAGCAAAGCCGGAAGGAAGGAAAGAATAGGTTTCTTACAAAGACTACAGCTTTGCTTGAAGCCTTAAGAACACGATATAATTAGAGGTGCAGCCTGTTTAGAAATGGAACCAGCTGAGGTCTCAAGGGAAACAGGTGGAAGCAATTGACTCACTGAAGGACCTTATAAATAAGGCCTCAGCCGGCTGCTCTAGGAGAGCAGAAGGTGATGCTGGCTGCTTTTCTTCAGTGCCAGTACTAGCTGGGAACAAAGCATGTTCTAGCTAAATAGTCCTCCTGGGGCAAAGAATTTACTATGTAACAAATAGTTTGAGAAAAACCTTCTGTTTTTTCTCTTTAAATCCTTTTGTGCTTGGAAGCTGCCTTATTTCCCAGGATGGTTTCTGAGTGTACAAGCTACTCAGTGGAGCAGGTCCCAGTGAAATTTCACTGTTTGCCTCAAGATTCTGTTCTGGCTTTTTGATTAACTTTTTCCTGGAGTGTAAGTGTTCATGTCAAACACTCCTTTGCCTAGCTTTGGAAATTGATGACCTGTTAGATAATTTATCAATCTAGCTCAAATTGGGAATAAGTACCTTATTCACCACACCTTTCCTTGACCTCTAATGGCGGAGAGGCTAAAGAGACAAGCTCTGATTTTCTAGTTAACAGGGCCTGCTCCAGCACCACCCTGGGTTTTTAATTTGTTATTGGGAGCAGGGGAGAGAAACCCCTTATAACTGTGATTTTTTTTTTTCAGTGTTACTGATCCACTCTGGGAACTTGGTGAACTCCCACCCCTAACTGTCCTGCCCCTTAAGATTAAAACTAACTGCTCTCAGCTCTAGCTTGGCAATGGATGCAGAGGACGCTATGAAACAGGATGCTGAGCAGCCCCCAGACACTGCGTCACTGGTTTGTATGGCTGTACGAATGTGTGTGGTTTATGGCATGAGGAGATGGAGGCTGGCAGTAAGGATGAGGTTAGGTTTACATGTAAGAATAATTCAAATGTCTGTGCAGTTTGTCTTTTGTCAACACCATAAAGCAGCATTTTAACATGGACTCAAAGAAGGAGACTGAGCTGGCTCCGGCTCACCACCGTGCTCCAGTTAAGGGGGGGGGGTGTGTGGATGCAGTTCAGGTTAGGGGCAATACTCGAATTAACTCAGTGGTGAGGACAAGCCCTGTGCCTAGCCCAGCTGCTGCCCTCTCTAGAGGGTTTGTTGCTTTAGTTGAAACACTGGTTCAATTTCCATGTTCAAGACACAGTGTAACTAATGTAACTGCTCCAGTCCTGTGGATTTCACAGAAACGCTGCTGGGCACTGCAGGCAGCTGCCAAGGAGGTTCCCATTGGAACTGATGCTGCTTGCCAGGCCTGGTGCAGATTACGAGACCCACACTGGCTCTGGATGACAGAGCCCAGGAGGTCCCTAATTACTCTTCCCCTGACCCTGGAGAATGTCCTGTGGTGACTCCTCTCCTTTGCAGGTTGAAGGTGTGAGAACCTTGCTAAGATCCCTTGAAGTCCGGCAGCAGTGCCTCCTGGCAAACATTGCCAGCTGCGACGAGCTGATGGCAGAAATCACCAGTCTTCAGGCTGCTCTCTGTGTTAAGTATTGTGATCTTCCCCACTTTCCTTGCAGCAGGGCCTCTGTAAAGAGGGCCCCCGAGGGCTTTTCCTTTAACATTACATGACTGCCCAGCACAAGATGGTGCAACTCCTGTAAGGAGCCCTGGTTTCCACAGGCCGTATCTCCCTTGAATGGCAAGACCAGTGGGGGCTGGGGGTGGGCTGCTCCATTTCTTTTCAATTACTAAGTTCATTAGAAAATGTTATGATTTCTGGAAAGCAGCATCTTGACCCTAGTGCCGTGAGGTTGGTGGCACCCTTGAATTCTGTGTTAAAGCGGCTCCTGGGAGGCATTGGACTGATGCGTGTGGTTTTATTATTTGCTAGACTCCTGCCAGAACAGAGGGCAGCTCCTTGCCTGTGCAACAAGAGAACAAGAATTCCTGAAATGCTTAATTAGCTGATCACCTGAGGGCTATTGATGAAGGAAGCCACTTTGTACTCTCATTGCCTGTACCCTACAAAATATACTTGGCCCTCTAGTCCCTGAACTCTTTGCATGCGTTTGGTGTGGTGTGTAAGTGCATGTTGCTGTGACCTCAACTCTCAATTGCGTTGTCTAGAAATAAATGACACAACTGTTTGCTCTAGCTCTGAGAGAGCTTCAGCCTGTCGCAAGTTAATACCGTGGGGAAAGAAACAGCCTGATGACAAGCCCAGCTCTGATCACTGCTGCTAACCCTGGGCAGCTGACCCCACTCAAGCTCTCTGCTGTTGCCTTGGGTCACTAACAGGAAAGTAGATTCCCCTCCAGTCTCATGATCTTTTAGTGCACAGCTGGAACAGTTGCACTGCAGGGGCTGCATCTTGCCTTTTGTCCTGATGATCTGTCCCCTTTGTCCCCTCCTGCCTTCAGCAGAGGATAGCTCCAGATTGTAAATTCCTTCCCCCTCATTCCTACCTGCATTTTGAATGGGGAGGAGTATTGTCATGGAGCAGTGACTCCTCCTTGAGGGAGTGTGAAACCTTTGACAGCACATCAAACAGCTCCTGCTACCTTGCTTTCTGCTCCATATGATTTAGACTGCTCTGGGGGCTGGAGGAGATGCAGAAGACCAGCAGCTTGTGTGTCCTGCTTCCCAGCTGCCCTAGTTTGACACTAGACATTTCAGTTTAGGAGTTTGAGGGAGCTGCTGTCAGAGCCAACGTGTGTTGATTTCCTTCAGCCTGACTGAGAACAGGTTAAAGAGGGTGCCTATAATAATCATGGAAGAACTGACCCACTTTGGAGCTGCACAGTGAGGCTCGGAGCATTCTGCTCCTGGAAAGGCAGGGCTGTGGCTCTGGCTGGAGTGAGATGAACCCTGAGTGTGGCCCCTGGTGTGCTCTGACCAATGCTTTGTACCTAAAGTGTGATCATCTCATGGGCCTTGTCCTTCCCCCATCTGTTTGTTGTATCCACCTATTTTATCATCACAGACTTGGTCCTTGGCCTGAAGAGCTTGATTCTCTCCCTTTTGTGTCTCAAGCATCTAGCACAATGGGGTCTCAATCCTGGAGTAGAGTTCCTTCGTGCTCATGTAATACAAATCCTGGACCACTGACAATATAAGAGGGCAGAATACAAAGTCAGCTCAGCTGCTGTGGAGAGACTTGCCCAAACACTTCAGCCCTAAATTATTAGGGGCCTTATGTACCCCAAGGTCCTTAAATTGGCTCACCAGGTACTTGTACAGAGGCCAGCAGCCAGTATGGATTCCCTTGCCCCTAAAGCAAATAGGTGCCCTCCTTTGGCAGCTTCTGGATCATTTTTGAGAGGCCGGTTACTGTGCCTGAGCCAGGCTCTCACCTATTTGAGGCTTTTCATGAATATGTAATGCCCATATGACCCTCTCTGTGTTAATGACTGCCGAGACCTGCAGTCCCTGCTAGCTGATGGTTATAAAGGGGTGGCAGGCTAAGCAGCAGCATGGTACAGTGGTTAGGGTACTAGCCTATGACTTGGGAGACCTGGGTTGCAGTCCATGCACCACCACAGACTTTCTGGGTAACCTTCAGTAAGTCACAGCCTCTCTACCTGCCAAATCACAAGTACCTTCCCAGGGTGTATGAACTCAGCTGCTACAGAATAAGTACAGAAGATAGATAATGCCAAGGCTGGGCAAAGAAGCCTTTCCTACTCTTATTCCTCAATCCTTATTTATAACGCATGGTCTAGAGCAGGAGTGGGCAAACTACAGCCTGTGGGCCATTTTAAGTCAGCCCTTGAGTTCCCACTGGTGAACGGGGTCTTGGGCTTGCCCCCCTCTGGCACTCCAGTCAGGGAGCAGGGCTGGGGGCCGCTCCACATGGCTCACGGAAGCAGCCGCATGGCCCTGCTCTGGCTCCTACATGCTCTTATGGGAGCTGCAGGGACAGTGCCTGCAGACGTAGCAGCATGCAGAGCTGCCTGGCTGTGCCTCCATGCTGCTGCTTCTGGGAGTTGCTTGAGGTAAGTACTGTCCGCAGCCTGCACCTCTGAGCCTCTCCCCATGCCCCAACCCCCTGCCCCAGCCCTGATTCCCCTCCCACCCTCCAAACCCCTTGATCCCAGCCCAGAGCACGCTCCTACACACCAAACACCTCCTCCCCAGCCCCACCCTAGAGCCTGCACCCCTTCCTGTACACTGATCCCCCTCCTGCCCTCAAAACCCCTCAGTCCCAGCCCAGAGCATCCTCCTAAACCCCAAACTCATCCCCAGAGCCTGCACCCCCAACCAGAGCCCTCACCCCCTCCTCCACCCCAACCCCAATTTTGTAAGCATTCATGACCCGCCACACAATTTCTATTCCCAGATGTGGCCCTCGGACCAAAAAGTTTGCTCACCCCTGGTCTAGATCCTCTTATGTACTTGAAATTCTAAGAAAGGCAATCTCATTTTCCAAGCTCAATTTGTTTAAAATTCTTTGAGCCTTTCCAAAAGGAGGCTGGTGCCATGGCTGGTTGTGTATTTGCCAGTCCATTCTCCTGACCTCCTCTCGCTCTACTTGTATTGCCACTTATGCTCTTTATCACAGACTACTACTTAGAAATACTTCGGTAAGAGTACTAGGATGAGAGAGCCCTACAGAACAACTGTGTTTTACCTTCCTCATTCCCTCTGCAGTTTCAAACAGATGAAGATATTCCTGCCTCAATTCCTGGAAGGTGGGGGGGGGGGGTGCACTGCTGAACAACTGCTGCATTTCAGGGGTGAATTAAGTGATCCCTGTATGCTGCGTCTGGGGGGTACTCTGGGGTCTTTGGATGAATGCTGTCCCTCATGATTATTTGGGGGGGGGGGGAGTAGTATACAGCATAAGTAATTACAACAGCTGGTCTTAGTCCTTTGCATGCATCTTAAGCTATTCCACCCTTCCACATGCCTGAAAGTACCTTTATGGACATGAAGGTTGTGGATCCAAAAACTTTAATGGGGGAGGGGGGGAGGGGGAGAGAAATCCAATTGCATAGGAAAACTATTCTCTCTCAAACTCCAAAGTCTCAGTGCCCTATTCTGATGGAAAAGAGAGAAGAGCGCTCAGACTCACATTCCAAAGAAACTGATCAAGCCCTTGAGGAATGACTCCAGGACCACATTATTTAAATAAGCATTTAATTAGGATTCCATTAGTATTAATATTGCTTTCAATTCCAAAAAATGTTAATTTCCACGTCTTAGCAGATATTTCAAAGTACAATATTAACTTTATACAAAATGAGCAATTAAGCAAACACCATTATTTCACATTTTACATTCTTCAAAAATACAAATTCATATTTACTCTTTTTTGGGTTTTGGAGATGCTCTTCCTTTGGAAGTACTGTACCTGTAACTAACATCTTCATGTTGCTGAATGCAAGTACATTTGTTCCCATGTTTCGTAGTTAAATAAATTCCTTTAATAACATACACACACATTTGAGAAATTGATGTGTTTGTTTTTTAAAATCATCTCCAAGACCATTGCCCAGCTCCCAGTACGTGTAAAACACAAGCAATAAAAACATCCTAAACTCTTCCTAGATTTGCTGGTCTGAAGATTATGCAGAGATCAATGCTGAAGCAAATGCTCAATAACTAACCGGCAGCTACCTGCCCTCCTAACTGATGCTAGTCTGTGCAAATAAAACAAAACGTCAACTATTATTTTCTCTCCAAAATAAAGGTCAAATGAATAGCTTCGGTTTATAAGCAGGTGGAAGGACACAAAGCTACAGAGCAAGGAAAACCTTTCAATGCCAGCTACCGTAGCTACGATACTGCAAAAACATACCCTTGATTTTGCTGAAAAAGATCATATGAAAAAAATTTGTTGTAAGAAAAAGTAGAAACAGCATTTAGTTGAGAAAGAGTACACTGCATAATGAACCAAATTTTGGCCAGCTTGCACACCACCAAAAGCATGGTGTGGGATTTTTAAACTAGTTCCAAGAACATACACATTTAGACTATGTATGCTACTACATAAATATCCAGTTTAGTTTGCATTTCTCAGTGCAGACACAGAATCCAACTTCTAGAACGTATGATTTATATCAAGACAAAATGAAAAAAGTTAAAAGTTCAGCCCTGTCCATGAGTATTGACTACAGTAACATTTATAAAAACTTGACGTTGTTTCCAAAATATATTGAGGAAAACTACCAATTAAAACCAACGCAATCAGAAATGTTAAAGAGATGTTTATTTTTGCCTCACAGCCTAATTGACTCTAATTATTAACTGTTTTGGCCAGCTCGCTCGTATTGGTAATACTCTGCACTTTGCTCTTTTCATTCGTACATCTCAAAGCATTTACAAAGGTGAATGAGCATCACTCTCCCCATTTTATGGATGAGGGAACTGAGGCATAGAGAGGTTAAGTGACTTGCCCGTGGTCACACAGCCAGTGAGTGGCAAAGTCAGGACTAGGTTACTTGACTCTCAATCCACTGCCCTATACAATGGACTGTGCTGCCTCCCATTTCAGTTGCCACATGCATAATATTGTCCATAAGAGACAAGTTTTTCATCTCTTATGAGCTCTGAGGCCAATTTTACCTTAAAATAACTGTGCCCCCCTCCCTCAAGCAGTTCCAGACCCTCAGGCTACCCATGAGTTCATTTGCCAATGCTTACTTCTAACTGGTACAGGAAGAGTATTGTAAACAGGTTAACAATGTTGCTGCAGTTCAAAAGCAGTATTTGATGATTCTGCTGGAGAGTTATTCTCAGCGAAGTAAGGCAGATAACATGACATCGAAAATGATTGTGAAGACAAACTCTAAAAGGTGCAACATGCCTGTGTAGGAACAGTTTGTCAGGTCTGTTCATGTTCATTCTGAAATGAGATTGAGGGGGGACATACAGATGAACACAACAAATAAAAACAGCCTATTACTTCTAACACAAGTGATAAGCAGCTTATCAGAAAGCTTGAGAGGGCAGGGCCTGCTAAAGCACTGTGCTCCCAGTCGAAGTTTTGCATAGATTGGACATTCGCTAAGGATACATAATTTTGTTTGTGTATAGACAGGGTAGGGTGACAGGTCAC